ATCCTGTCCCCCATGCCCCACACTCCTGATCTGCAGCCCCCTGCCCTGCCCCCTAGCCTTGCCAGTGTCCCGCACTCTGGACCCACAGCCTCTGCCCCCCCAGCCCTGTTGGTGCCCTGCACTCCCAGCCTGCAGACCCCTGCCCCAGCCTTGCTGCTTTCTCACTTTCTCTCTCTCTGGCTTTCCTGAGCCAGTGTGGGGAGCATGGGACCACTGACCAACAATCACCTTGCCCGCTGCTCTGAGCCGGAAGCGGCCAGTCAGGGATAGCAGAAAGCCAAGATGTTTGCTCTTTTTTTAAAAACCCATCTGGGTGCAGCACAGGGGTCCAAAAAAAAAGACATGTCCAGGAAAACCTGGACGTATGGTAACCCAAACATGTATCAGTGTCCCCACACAGAAAAATGGCATTGGGGGCGCTTTAACTAAAGCTCATTTGACAGAGACGCTGATGCATGTGATGCTCTGGGTGCTTTAATTAGAGTGGCTCTCGGCTGCTCTAATTAAAGCGCCCCTTCCCCCCCCATTCCTGGAGCAAGTCTATAAACTCCCTGTGGTCCCAGTTGTGCATGAATTGTTAGAGGAAATGAAGCTAGATGGAATAAATGTCACTATAATGGCTCCTAAAGGCCAGGCCAAGCTGGGCTTGTTAAAGAAAATGCTGTTACTTTCTACAAATCCCTTCATATTCTTTTCCAGGTGCTGGCTTCTAGAACTTTCTGATTCTGGAGAAAAGATTATTGCTTGTGAAGAAAGGAGTCTCTGAAAATGTGCTTTCTCCAAGTATTCTCATATCTCACTTCAGGGTTTGGAAAAAATTCTTAATTTGGCATTTGTCCAGAGCTAGTTCAGCTTTCCAGGTGCCTTGCAGGTTGCATACAGAAGTTTGGCTCCAAGCTGTAACTCACAATGATTTCTGCAAAGTACCTCAGACCAAACAGAAGTTCACTGTTGGTCCCAGCGGGGAGGAGAACCTGACTATGGCTGAGAGCTTGCAGCCAGGTTCCCATAGCAATGGCCAGTGCACCAAATGGGGTGGGGGGGGAAGGCAGCAGAGGGAGCTCATTCTTGGGGCTCCCCAGTTGGTGCTGAAGGGTGGGGTGGGTGAATTGAAGCCCCCCATGTCAAGGTGGGGTCTTCAGTACACCTGCCCCACCCTCCAAGAGGGTCTGACAAATCTCCAGACTGAACTCCCTCTGCTCCTTTTCCCCCCTCCCATTCTGAAAACAGTGGCAGGCTGGGAACTCTGCAGAGTTACGGAAGATGCTACATCTTGAATGTCTTTATCTGATGCCCCATGCTATGAGGGGTCAGATTTTTACCTGATCAGCCATTTTTTAAGCGGTCTGTAGCTGTGCACTTGTTTGGTCACCACTATAGACTGCTTTCTGGGGCCAGATCAGGCAAAAATTTTTACTTGTGTCTGCACCCAGCATGTGGTCTTGGATTTCTTCTAGATCCCATATAGACTGCTTTAATAGCTGGTAGTGTTCCAGCTGCTAAGCACAGAGCTTGTCATGCTGTTTAGGGACTTGACTTTTACAGTGCGTTAGGTTTCCGTAATGATCTTGCAGTTTATCTTATCAGAATTGGATGTATTGTTTTAGTCAGGAACCTTGGATACAAACACATCATGAACATCAGTTAGAACAGCATCATCTGAGTTTTACAGGTATACTGCTGATTTAAACTGATAATGCATCAGGTTCTGCCTGGTTATTGTTTCAGCAGGGTGAATTAGTAAACTCTGACAGCCCTGACTTAAGCCCTTCTTACTGTCTTCTGTATTTCTGAGATAGTTTTGCATCCTGACATGGGTGTCTTGTGCCTCCCCTGACACCAGTCAGCGACCAAGGGGGAGAGAGGGGCAGTCACCCAGTGGCTGATTGATCCCACTGACCGGGGGTGGGCACTTTTACTCACTGTAAAAGCGGCCATGCCAGTTCCAGAATTCCCGCAGCCACTTCCGGAAGCAATGCACATGCTTTTGCTGGCAGCCCCACTTCCCGGCTGGCGCTCATGGGGGGGCACTGGTGCTCCCGCCTGCCCCCCTGCCCACTGGCTAAACAGGGATTATGGCCTGACGGGGTGCCCATGCACCCCCTAGTATCCCTTATGTGTCACCACTGCATCCTGAAACTTCTTCCAGGATTATTACCCAGTTTTGCTTAAATGGAAGTGGTCTGCCTTTTTTGGCTGTCATGTAGACGCATAGGAGAGTATGTCCACCTTGTGCAGGAGCACATGTTGGCATAGGCATTCCTGAATGGATCCCAGCTGCCTGTTTCCACTTGCATGCTCCAAAATCAAAAGTACACTGTTGAAGCCATTGTCAGGTTGTCTTTAGTGGCTATTCTCAGACATGCTAGAGCCTGAGTTCTTGGGAGTGACTGTTGGGGGCAGCAGGGGTGTTCCTCCAGATTAAGTTCACCACAACTCTGGAAAAGGGGGTATAGATGGGCATCTTTTTGGGAATGGAAATTTAAGAGTGATGTTGTCACAGTGGTCTAGGAATTTGTGTGAAAGGCAAGAATTGTTTTGAGTGATACTTTCGTGATACCTTTTATTGGACCAGCTATATATAGTTGGCATAAAGTTAGACAAGCTCACAAATGCAAAGTATTCATCTTGGGTGTTAGTTGTAGTCATGTTGGTCTAAGGACCAAAGGCAGACAAGGTTCTTTGGGTAAATCTGATATCTTTTACAGTTGGAAAAATTCTTCTTTGCAAGCTTTTGGGTACAAAAACCCTTCTTCAGGCAGAGGAAGCATCCCTCTGGGCTATTTAATTTCATCCATGTAGCTAGTTACCATGAAGGCATTTGGTGCATTGGATCAGATGTATTGTATTTTGGGAAAGGCCTGTGTAGGATGCATAGGTTCTGATGGGTTTGTTTTGGGAGGTGTTGATCAAGTTCTTTTCTTCTACTAATTGTCTGCTACCCCTGGGAATTTCACTCCTACCTAGAATTTCACAGGGCTATCCACTGTTCTTACAAACAGCTGCATTTGCTTTTCTGTTCAGACCAGAAGAATGCTTTCCATTCGTAAGCTTGTCTAACTTTATCCTAACTATCACCCAAAACAATTCTTGCCTCTTGCGTTATTGGGAATATCCTTATTAGGAAATACTGCCACTCTGGTGTAGACATACCAAGATTAACTGCCTGGAGGTCAAAACGCCTTAAAAGTCCTGTCATAATAAGACTTGAATGTCTCCTTAGCAATCTTAGAAACTCGAATTTATTGGTTTGTCAATCCAGAGGTATCAATGCTGATTTGAAATAGTGGTACTGCATTAAAATAAAAGAGTTAAAAACAGTTAAGACTTAATTTAAGAAAAAGGTACTCTGATGCTTCTTAACCTTTATCATTTTCACAAGTTACGGTAAAAATTCTTATTACTGAAAAAGTTTGAGGTATGGGGGGAATTACTTTTGTGTTTTGCATCTCCTCTGGGTGCATTTTTATAGCACTGTAGTTAGTTTTACTGTTCCTCTCAAATAATAAATGTTTCCTTGTGTTGTATCTTTTTGCAAAGCTGCAGGAGACAGTCTAGTTATTTTTACTTTTTAAAGCAGATTTAAAAGGGGGTTTAAAACCCACAAAACTTGAGCAGTAAGTGAGGCATGTATAGTATCCTGACACAATGACACAAGTGTGTGTGCGTGGGGGGGGTTGTTTGTTTGGTTTTTTTTTTGTTTGTTTGTTTTTTGTGGAACAGCTTTCCAGTGAGTTGATGGTA